GCTGCTGAGGCGAGGCTCACGCAGCCTCTCCAGGAGAAATCAAAATGTGCAACACTAAGAAACTCAGCATCCTGAGGTAAAAATTCTAAATGGAAAGTTTTTATATTAAAAATACAGTTAGTTAGACAACATCACACAACGTTTTCACCATTACGACCGTTTAGCCGATTCATTGCTGATTGATTCCGTGTTTTGAACGAACAAGTCAAAGTTTCATTAGCCCATCCATAAACACCTGATGAATCTGCCGTTTGAACGAATCGTTTGAATGAATTACTCAATAACTCACTCATTAAACGCTCACTACTGGCACCTACATTTGGATAAAATATAAAAAACACGCAGATTTATATGTCACAGCTGATAGAAAACTGATGAGAATATTGCTTCAGAATAAATCATATTTGCAAATAAACAAAACACACATATATATACATAAGCTCGATACCATAGAGCCCCCCCACATAACAAATCCCAATTTAACCCCTGGATAGATAATGTCAGCAAGCTATTTGGACACTAAATTCATGTAAACACACATACAGTTTACTTCTTTGGGCTATATTGAAACAGTGAGTAGGCTAATATTCACAAACTCGCCTTTTACTTCAAGACTGAAAGAATTTAAAATGACCTCTTGAAGGACAGTTCCAGAATCCGAATTCAATACGTTAAGCTCAATCGACGAAATTTGTGACTGTTTTTATGGTAATAAAGGTGCCACATATTTCCTAGATTAATCTTAATGTATTAAATCTAGAATTTTAGTTTTTTTTTTCTTTCAAATTTTTGTTTCAAATTTGTATGTAGTCGTTTCATATTTTCAGTGTAAAGCTCATAGGTAAAGCTGTGGTCATATTTACCGTTGTTCGGCAAATTTCCCGGGAGAAATCCGGTTATGTAGGAATCCACAAAATCTGGAATTTTGTGTCAGGACAAAAGATATCAAACACATTTCGCAATGAGTTCACGCGCTGAACAACAGAAAGCTGCTTGGTTTGAAAGCGACTTCTGTATGAGGTGTAGCCTACTTCATGAATCGCTACACTTGACGTTTTTCCACTAGAGGAAGCAGCTTGGCGAATTCGTGTGGGTTCCACTGATAACAGGTGCAATGCATTTATGATAATACAGAATATTTTTCTTGGTCATGGCTCAGTATTAAGCTGTTTTGCAGTTTTTACTCTCTCAGGAACAAGAACACTTGTGAGACCAACAAGCATCTCCAGCTCCTCACGCTGTATTGACCTTGATCTGATGCAGCTTTGTTTTAGCGCCTCATAGATTATCACTCCAGGTTACAAGCGTGAGGCCTCCTGGGTGCCACTATCATTGGGCGGCCCTTGCAGAGGTCACAGTGTTGCAGGGGAGGGCGTCTGTCACAAGCCTTCACCTGGCAGATGTCTGTCAATGCCAGGAGCCCACTGTGAGTCCTTTCACAATGTCACACCGCTCAAACATCCACACAGCAGAGTCGATGGAGTTTGATCATATTCTGTGATGATAATACTGCGTGTTATTAGGATGTGTAATGGCTTAGTTTATCCACATGCTTATATTTACTTAGTAGTTGACGATCCTGGTAAGCATATTGCATAATATTTGGCCTTATTTGTAGAGAATTAGTATTTAGATTACATGCACATGGTCCTTGGTCTCTGGTACCATTCAGGAGCAACATAGAGGGAAAAAAAAGTTTGTTTAAATTGGAAAGATACCAGAAGTGGATAGACAGAAGGTTCCTACAGTCACTAAAATTTTGACTTTTTTTTTCATGCCTAGAAAAGTCATGTAAATTTTTTTTCCCTCTCATTTTCTCATTATGCTTGACTGAATATTGCCCTAATGTAGCCAATTTATGAGCAAATAATTTTGAAGACTGAATATATGAAATTAATTGAATATATGAAAATGTATATAAAAATAAAAAAATAAAATATATAATAGGCATGCAAGGCAAGGCAAGTTTATTTATATAGCAAATTTCATACACAATGGTAATTCAAAGTGCTTTACATAAAAGAAATGGAAAAAAAATAAAAAAATAATCACAACAATAAAACAAGGAATGTAAAACTTTGAAAATGATTACAAAATTTATTTAAGAGGTTTAAAATGAATTTAAAACAGTTAAGAATAGAAAATGATTATACATAAAATATAGTGCAATCAGTTCGTTTAAATGTGACTAATGTTTTAGCACATCTGATCTCTTCTGGAAGCTGATTCCAACTGCGGGCGGCATAATAACTAAAAGCGGACTCCCCTTGTTTTGTGTGAACCCTTGGTATTTCTAACTGACTCGATCCTATAGATTAACATCAATAAGTAAATAAATTATATATATATATATGATTATATAATCTATATGTGTGTGTGTGTGTGTGAGAGAAATTAACCATATTTATAATATATTATTATTTAATTTTTTATTAATTATTATTAATATAAATTATTTAATATATATTTTGATTAATTGCCCGCAGAATGGATGGATAAAATAAGATTAATTATTATTATATGAAGTCATTACATTTCTATGTCCATCTGTCTGTCTGCCTGCCTATCTATCTATCTATCTATCTTTTTTTTTGAGAGAGAGAGAGAAGCTGAGATCTGTTTGAAGAGTGGTTTGGAGAATGGATGGATGGATGGATATCCAATTCACAGAGGACAGCTCAAGTCCCAACCTGTCCGTAAAGGCATCATTTCTTATAGCACCAGTGGGAGAAAAGCCAAACTGGCTCTAAAAAAGGCAGCGACAATGGATTATCACCAAAATACATTCCCCTTAGAGAGATTATAAAAATAAAACTACAGCTACGAGTGTAGTAAGCGGCTTCATTCATCACTACTGCAGCCTCAGATTTATCAGACTCACACACCGTGTTCTGGATGAAGGTTTATTGTGATGTTATCTACTCTGCACTCCACTTCACATGGTGATAAACCAGTATAAACAGCCATCATTGCACCAAAGCCAAGAACCCCGGCAACATTCACAAGACAAGCTCAGAACGACACATAAAGTGCTCTAAGATCAACTGAGATGAACAGCTAACATGTTAACCATCTGTTTAAGCGCTATCTAAATAGTCTGATAATCTGTGAGTTCCTGCTCTGATTTCACTGTGCACACAAACACACACACACACGCACACGCACACACGCACACGCACACGCGCACACGCACACACACACACACACACACACACACACACACACACGTCTTTGGCAATGCATAGGGGTGGTCCTATTAGAGAAAAGAATGAAAATATTTTGAGTAATGTTAATTTCACACGAAACACAGCCTCAGCTGTTTGGGGCATAACTAGTACAATGTTCTGTCAGCTGGCTTGCATTCTTAAACATGCTGGTGTTGAATATGCTTCCCTGGCTGACGCTGACACACACTCACACACCCACTACCCCTCTCCTCTCACACACACACACACGCACACGCACACACGCACACGCACACGCGCACACGCACACACGCACACAAACAATCACCCACAAACCCACTGTGATAGCAGTGGGATTGACACACACACACACACACACACACACACACGTCTTTTAGACACATCATGTTGTGCTGACAACATTACAGAACAAATGACAAGTAACCATCCTGACAAATCACACTGACAAATTCACTCTTAATTTATGGAGAAAACATAAAATACAAATCAAATAATAAACATAAGTGCTAGTCGAATAAGAGGATACTTTTAAACCAATGTAAAAAATTATACAAAGTTGAAGACAATTAAAATGATTTAAAAGAAAGCACAATTATTTTTTGGTTTTACATACATCATTAGAAGTCCACATATATTCAGTAAATAAATAAAGCACAATGAAAGTTATATTGAAAGCAAAACCTTGATTATTTAGGGTGCAACTACAGAGCTCTGTCACAAAAATGTATATGGAAATAAAATGTCACTTATTAAACATTATATATATGAAAAAAAAAACTATTTTAAAACATATTATGGTTATTCTGTGACTGAGTAAACAAGACTGTTAACAAGGAATACATTTCAGCATAAATTTGATATATATTTGCTGTGTATCATATTTAGCTGACTTTCTCCTGGTATTTTGGCTTGTTCAGTTTCTAGTCAGTGACGACATCCCGTGTCGTGCTGCCACACTTAAAAATATGCTGCAAACGTAACCATCCCAAATATAAAATTTGGGTCTGCCAACAGAATGCTTTAGTATTCAGAGAGACATTACTTGTGTATCATTTCAACACATTTTTATAATTGGGCAGGCGTCAATGAAACGTTTATAAATATAATTTTAGCTGTTCTAGGAGATATCTTTGTCTGCTGACGCACATCCCAAAGACGGCTTAACTATTTAAGAAATATAATTCTCTAATTACCAGATCAAATCAGATTAAATTCCTCCATGATTTAAAAAAGTGGCCTATTTTAAATATCATTAACATTTTCAGACATGACAGTTCAAAATGGGCTTTGTTCAATGGAATACTAGCATACTGCTCACTGTGCAGTATACACTGCATTCAGCATACTGCACTTTAAAAAAAGTTATGCAAGTTAGAATGCATTATGCAATGATAAAAAATGTTAACAGTAGTATGCCACACTGTTGTCACATGATCACACTATATTCATATTGAGTTCTGCAAGGGAAAAGATTGTTTTGCACTTTTTATGCAGTATGCACTCAGATTTTCCAGTAAAAAATTAATGAAAATAATAATAATATATTATAACAGTAATAGTTTTTTTTTTAAAGATTTGAGCTGTTTTTAAAACCAGCTTACATAAAAAAACATATTATAATATGTAATTATTTTACCTTAAAGTAATGAGAATGAGATTTTTGCATTATGGCATTAAGAATTAGATGGGGGAAAGGGTGCATAGTTGTAAAGAAAATAATATTAAATATTAAAAACTAATAATAACAATAATAATAATTACAAAAAAATGCTTTTACCTAAAAGCATAAGCAGATTTTGCAGTAACAAGTAATAATAAATAATAATAAACGTGGTTTCACGTGTTTAACTAAAATACGGTGTTAAAATAAATCCTAATTTTTGGCAGTTCAATCGAACAAGTCAAGAGAGATATACAAAAATTTGTTGCCTCATTCACCACAATGAATGATCTAGTAATTTAAGTCGAGTGTGTTGCATTGTGGGATATATAATTCCACACACTGTGCTCTGTTGTACTATCAGTATGAATCACTTTGTTGTATTTCTCATTTGTAAGTCGCTTTGGAAAAATCAAGTATCTTAGCTCTGCATACTGTATACTGCAGAAATCGTAAAAGTAGTATGATAGTATGCTATTCCGAACAGCCATGTTTCTTTTCCTAGTCAAACACAAAGTTTGATGTGTTTTAAGGTGTTTTTTTTTTCTTCTGGACATCCAGAGGCTTCTCTGCAGGTGATATTTTAAGAAACAGCCCAATGTTTTGTGTTTATGACATGATTTGAAATAATCGAAAATGCAAGAAGTGCTCCACTGAAATGCATAAAAGAACATAAAACACTAAAATAAAATATACAAAGCTAAAATGGCATTTCCACGTGAACATCCATGACACCATCCTGGCGTTTTCCATATATCAACGCACATGTTCAGACGGCTGCTCCTCACAGGTACGGGTACTGGTTGAGTTTCCTCCGGCTGAGGGGAAACGCCGCAGACCGCTGGTAGGACGGTGTGGACAGCTGCTGTTGCTGGTACGGAGCTGAAGCCTGACACATGACGCCCATGGCACTGTTCTTCTGCAGAAGGCTCAGAGAGGCCGAGTACGGCCCGGTGGTGCGCGTGTGCCGGCCAGAGGAAGAGGAGCAGGAGGAACCGGCCGAATTGTGCAGCTGGTCCATGGCCTGCGACACCGAGGCCAGGGCTGCAGATGCAGGGTATGCGTACAGACTGGAGGCGGAGCCGAAAAGAGACGCTTCATGAAGCCTGTAGGAGTGGGAGGGGCCTGTAGGGGGGTAGGTGGGCTGGCGTCTCAGGGATCCGCCCCCTGCACGATCGTGGGATGACATCATTGATTGCTGCGTCTGTTGAGTGAATCACAGAGTGAATCAAAAGCATAAAGAATCACTTGATGACTCAGTTGGAAAAAAAACAACCTGATTATACAAAAAAATGAAAATACACCAAACTTTGCCATGAAATCACCCTTAGAAATGGCAAGGCACACAATTTTCTTTCATGTCATGTTGTGTTTGCTGTTGAAACAGGAAACTGGGCCAGATACACTACCTGTATAGATTTTTTTTTTTTTTTTTCTCTAAGTCTCTCATGCTCACCAAGGCTGCATTTTTTGTATATAAATATATTATAATGTAATTTATTCCTGTGATGCAAAGCTGAATTTTCAGCAGCCATTATTCCAGTTTTCAATGTCACATGATCCTTAAATTAATATTTTTTTATTCAGCAAAGATGTATTAAACTGATTAAAAGTGACAGTAAGATTTAAAAAGGGAAAGGATTCATTCAAATCATCAAATATGACAGTAAAGACACTTATTACAAAATATTTCTGTTTCAAATAAAAACTTCAAATATTTCTTTTGAACTTTCTGTTCATAAAAGCATCCAAAAAATTTAATTTTGAAAAAATGTTGAATTGAAAAATGATCAGTTTCCACAAAAATATTAAGCAGCAAAAACCGACACTGATCATAATAAGAACCGTTATTAATAATTGATCACATATGATAATTAATAATAGTAAAGAAACATTTCTTTTTTTATCAATGTTAAAAGAAATTGTGCTGCTTAAAATTTTTAATGAAACTATGATACATTTTTTCAGGATTCTTTAATGAATAGAAGCATTTATTTGAAATAGAAATCTTTTGTAACATTATTAATGTCTTTACTCTCACTTTGTATTAATTTGTTCAATGCATCCTTGCTGAATAAAAGTATTAATTTCTTTTTAAAAAACCCACACTAACCCAAACCTTTGACTTTAGATGACCTCAAAGCTAACAGACATTGACTAAAAGCCACAAACTTTAATTCTGATGTCATGTGGTCTTTAATAACCGGAGTGGACCTGTACAGATGTACCTGGCTCAGGTTGAGAGGCTGAGATCTGTTTTGCCGGTCGCTGGACTGTGAGGCCGTTCCTTTCTTTGACTTCCCAGAACTATTAGTACTTTGCTCTACAAATACAGAAAAAAGATCTTAAAGGGTCAAATCTGTACAACCAAGACATTATCATATGACCACTTACATATGTATATCCAAGTCTATTCAATATTCAACAACTTGTTCTTACTCATTTGACATGTAAAGTGGTGGACCAATCATAACAGAGGTCATTTTCATATAAAAAGGTATAGTAACAAAAAAATGTAATCCTGGTTAATTCTAAAATGGTCATTTTGATGTAACAACCCTTGTGTATCATGAATGGAAGGGAAAGGGACATGAAGGGAAAAAGCTGTAGTGCAGAATGTGGCCCGTTTAAGCTCAGTATTTAGATTAGGGATCCATCGATACCGATACTGGTATCGGTATCGGGCCCGATACTGAGCTCCTGTACTCGTACTCGTTAAAATGCCCCGATACCACACAGCATGTGATAAGTGCCATATTCAGACAAAGAAACACCGACATGCAATGGAGCAGCTCTAATGCTATTAAATTAAAGATGATGCAGGCTACCATAGAGAGAGAAAAAAATTAACCGTGAAAGTAATAAAAACTTGTAAAATACATTTTAATGGGCATAATTAAGTGTGAAAATAACAGAAGGATATACAGGCGAGATCCCAATTCGTCGGTCATCCGACGTGACGTCTCCGTTCCCTCCTTCAGGGAACGAGGGTTACCATACGTAACCGAGACGTTATACATACTCTTTTGGTTTCTGTACCCAATATTTAAAAAATTTACAAATGCAATGAAAATATTGGTATCGGTACTCGGTATCGGCAAGTACCAAAAATAAAAGTATCGGTATCGGGCGAGTACTAGAAAAAGTGGTATCGGTGCATCCCTAATTTAGATGATTAGAAGTCAGAATGAGTCTCACTGACCTCCTGACGCTCCATCCCAGAGCTGTGTTTTCACCAATGGCGTGACCACGGCTAGAGACTTGGAGTGTGTGTTGTTCTCAACGAAGTTGGGAAGGCATTTGGGGCTGAGAGGGGTGCTGGTGGAGGAGTCAGAGTCCTGGGAGTCATGCAGAGTCACACAGCTGATGACGTTTGTACGCTGGTTCACACTACAGCTGCCACACAAGAGAAGAACCATTTGAAATCATGTCTCTGAAGTAAGTCTCTTAGGCTTACCAAGGCATTCTTTGATCAAAAATACAGGAAAAACAGTTTTGAAATATTGTAACCATTTAAAAGAACCATTTTTTAATTTGAATATATTTTTAAATGTAATTTATTTTTTGTGACGCAAAGCTGAATTTTCAGCATCATTACTCCAGTCTTCAGTGTCACATGATCCTTCAGGAATCATTCTAATATGCTGATTTGATGCTCAATAAACATTTCTTATCATTATCAATGTTGAAAACAGTTGTGCTGCTTAATATTTTTGTGGAAACCACGATACATTTTTATTAGGATTCTGTGATGAATAGAAAGTAAAAAAAAAAACAGCATTTATTTGAAATAGAAATTTTGTGTAACATTATATAAATGTCTTTATTGTCATCAATTGAATGCATCCTTACTGAATAAAATAATGAATTTTATTCATTTAATTTGATAATTTTTTCAAACTTTAGAACAGTAGCATATGTTATGCTTATTAATATTATCTTGATCATCACTGGGCCATTAAGACATTTTTATGGGATGATGTAAATTATTGCAAAATTCTTTTGATATGTTTGTTTTTTATGCCAGTTTTTTACTAAACTAAGATTACCATACTTTTTTATTTTAGGTATTTTTAATTTAGGAATACATAGAAATACTAATATAGCAAAAAACAAAAAGACAAATATGTGATGATATATTTCGACAAGGAAAATACTAAATAATGTAACAAATAGACAAAAAAAAATACACACACATATATACAACAAGTACAATGTAACTACACTAAGAGTTTTGGTTGGGATGTAGGGGTGTACAGTATTAAAGTATTACAGTATTATTATAGTACATGTATTCGTACCGTACGGTTCACGGGGCAAATTCCAAATGGAAGTGATCATCCCTATGCCTTTGAAGGGCAGAGCCCTTGGAGTGGAGGCTTTGGAGTGAGCAGGGCACGTGCGTGCCATTATGTAGTCGTTTGGAATACACTTGACAAAGGGAGCGATGTAATTTCCTCATTATCTTCAGCTGGGATGTTCCCGTGACAACGCAGCACGGTGTCCGTCAGCTGATTCGCTGACGTACACCGGGATAAAAAATATACATTTTATATTTTAAAATGTTTTATATATATTCATTTTCATATATTATATAGCATATTTTAAAAACTTTTTAAAATATAAAATGTATGTTTATTTGCAACAGTTATGCTAACAACAATAAAAAGACATATATGCCAATAAAACAGCGACATCTGCTGACAGACACTGTGCTGCATTGTCACGGGAACATCCCAGCTGAAGATAATGAGGAAATTACATCGCTCCCTTTGTCAAGTGTATTCCAAACGACTACATAATGGCACGCACGTGCCCCGCTCACTCCAAAGTCTCCACTCCAAGGGCTCTGCCCTTCAAAGGCATAGGGATGATCACTTCCATTTGGAATTTGCTCCGTGAACCATACGGTACGAATACATGTACCGTTACACCCCTATTGGGATGTGAAAGTGATGTTGCACCTTTCAGGAGGAAACTTCCTGTCGTCCTCGTCCTCAGTGTCGCTGTGGATGGTGATGATGCTGACGGCGGGGCTGGGTGTGTCAGAGATGATGATGGGCTGAGGCGCATCACCGCAGCTGTGCACTACTGAAGGAGCCGGCTGCTGGGACGACGTGGGTCTGTGACAGAAAACAGATTTTAATTGAGTACACGGTACCATATTTTGGACAGTTTGACTTGAAATCAACTAATTTATTATGCAATGTTTTCCAATCTATTTAACACTATCCAGACACTCGTTTAAGATGGTTGCTCATCCTGAGACTCATTAACAGCGTTACCTGGCTTTGCTCTCGGCATGTCGACCCTTTGACCTCTTCGCTCCACTCTGCTGTGTTCGACTGCTGGCTGCCCCTGTGTGGGAGGGCTGTGTGCTCACGTTACGCCCCTGCGCAGAGCCCTGCTGCGTCCCATCGCTCTGACCTCCATGTCGACCCCTGGCAGAGTGTATTAAATGCATGCTGTTTTGAGAATTGTAACTGGTTATTAGTTATTTGCAATTCGTAAAAAATCCCTTTTCATGGCAGCAGCATGTTGTTCTACATTATAATCAGCAGCAACAAAGTCCCAGTGTCAATCTGCAGCGATTTCTATTGGCTAACAAGAGGAAATACATTTGGGAACAGCTGGGTGCAATATTCGTTCATTACTTTTAAATAGTTTTCACACTTTTTTGTTGTGTGCAAAAAAACACAACAAAAAAAAAAAGCAACAAATTGTTTAGTACATTTGCAAAATGCTTTTCTGTCATCAACATAAGTACCACCGGAAGCTTTGAACACTGTAATCAGACAACAAAGCACATGTGAATCAAGCAGGGGGGGGTTATATTAAAGAGAATTTAATTATAAAAATACTATTGTTTTGCAATAACAAGTGCAGTTACTAATACTATTACACGTTTATTTCTTGGTAATGCACATTTGACAGTAAAGCACTGAGTTGGAGTTGGGAATCATACAAAATGTACTTTTATTAGTAAAACAGTAACGTGCAAAATCAAATTTTTATATGAAAAAAATACCATTATACCAATATCATTAAATGTACTTTTATTCTTTCTATAGTATTATACTGAACTGACCGACAACTTCAGTGATTATAAAAGGAGCACTCTTTACTTTATGCGTGATTCAAATTGTTATATAATAATAATTCATAATAATAAATAACAATTTATTTACTTGTAATTAAAACAATATTATTTATTTTTTCCTATTCTGAGCTGACTAATAATAATAATAATAATAATAATAAACAATAATTATAAAAACACTAACTACAATAATTAAATCATTTATTATTATAACACCAGTACCTGTGATTGATTATATAATAATAATAATAATAATAATAACACAATTAGTAATTATTAATTGTTATATAATAATAATTCAAAATAATACTGACCGACAACTTCAGTGATTATAAAAGGAGCACTCTTTACTTTATGCGTGATTCAGTCGCATAAAGAACAAAGGTTTGAACAAAGGTTTGTTTTTCAAGGCACTTTGTGACTTTTCTTCATACATGAAAAGTGCAAAATTTTGAAAACATTTTTATTTCTTGATGATTTGATATTTTATACCAAAATTTTATAATATCAAAATATAAAGCAAAAAAAGTGGAAATAAATGTCAGTAAGTGCTCCTCTGCTGCCATCTACTAGATATAGTGGTAATTTGATGTCTTTTTTAGTGTACATTTTGGTCATCTCATTAAAAACAACATTTAAATTGGGTCATTTTTAGAACTTTAAAGTGCTGGAAATAGTTGTGCTTGCGGTGAACTCAATAATTGTTCTGAGCTGATAAAAGGTTTCATTATGCTTTTGTTTTCGTTTGCCGTTTGATGTTTCTCATATGCAACAGAAATGGCAGTGCTTATGAGTTGAGTAACGCGGTGGTTGCACCAATGTGACCACTCACAAAATTTAGTCGCACCGGCAGAAAACAATTGGTCACAGTTTGGAGCCCTGTAATAATAATAATAATAATAATAATAATAATAATAATAACACAATTAGTAATTATTAATTGTTATATAATAATAATTCAAAATAATAAATAATAATTTATTTATTTTTAATTAAAACAATATTATTTATTTTTTCCTATTTTGAGCTGACTAATAATAATAATAATAAACAATAATTATAAAAACACTAACTACAATAATTATATCATATTAATTATTATAACACCAGTACCTGTAATTCATTGTTATATGATAATAATAATATTTAGAATATATAGAAAAATAGACTTAATGTAGTTTATTTATTTTGAAACAATAATATTAATATTTTTTCCTTCTATTTTGAGCTGACTTATAATAATAATAATAATAATAATAACAATAATATAAACAATACAAACACAATGACTACAATAATTACATAATAATTATAATAACTAACATAGTAATTAATTGCTATATAATACTAATATATTTATTACTACTACTATTATTTTTTTTATAAACACATACACACAAATAATAAATACACATATTACTATAAATTAATTAAAAATGTATATATATTAGGGCTGTTACAATAAATCGATGCATCGAGATTCGTGGATCGATTCTGAGATTTTCGGAATGCATCGTTCTCTGTCGAATCGATTTTGAGCTTAGTTTTTAACAGCAGATGGCGCTCTAGGCTAGTTTTTAACCACACACTCAAATGCTCACGAAGAAGAGTAATGCAAGTGGTTAAATGTACTTGCACATCGGCTTTTATGCTTTTATGATGCGAGATTAATGTAAACACAGCCCACTGTGAACATCATTGTAATTCACTTCAACCTTTTCGAACTTTATGAATGATTATTTTAGGTTCAAGTGGTTAGTGTGTAAGGAACTGGAAGCAAGCAGAATATGGCTATTTGTAAAGCACGCAGTGCAATCTTGCTGTTAAAAACTAAGCTCAGAATCGATTCAAGAGAGAATCGCG